AGTCCGAGGAGGCACACAACACCTTAACAGGTCCACACGCATGCAATCGGCCCCACACTGTGGAGACCACGAGAATCTCGGCCGACCGCCAATCAAAAGGTTTGGGTTGGTGGTGATTAGAGGTTTATCTTTGCGGGAAACCGGGGACGAGGAAACTCCACCCAAGATCTTCCCCCGACAGGATCTCAGGTGCGAGCGTTTCCGAAGGACCGGAAAGGACAGCCAAAAATGCCCACCGAGACCACAGTACAGGCAGCGACCCTCCCAATGCCGAGAGGCCCGCTGCCCCTTAGAAAGGCGAGCAAACCCCAGCTGCATGGGCTCACCTCCAGACAAGCCATCCTCAGGAGGCGTGGGAGGAGAGGGAGGAACGGGTGGGACAGAAAACGTAGGCGCCAATCGGTTAGGAGGCCTCTGCATACGCTCCTTAAAGTGAAGGCCTCTCCCTGAGCCTGGTGTCAATCAGGATTAGGAAGGAAATGAGTGCTTCAAGCTCCACAGGCAGTTCTTTTGGCTCCAATCTCGTCCTTCAACGCTTCTGAGAGCCTCATTGTTCCAACCCACCTCTGCGCGCCAGGGTAACGAAATTCTTTGGCGTACTCGGCAACGGTTTCGTGAACCCTGATGCATGGACATGAGCAGCTTAGCAGCAGAGGCGGAGCGAGCCGGTACGCGAATACCTTAAGGAAGGAGGCAACAAAACCGGCAAACTCGTGAATCACAGGGTTATTGTTTTCCCATAAGGGATTTGCCCATGCCAAAGCCTTGTCCAAGAGCAGCAAGAATTAGGAAGCCCACCTTTGACCCTCTCAGTAGGAAAAGCGTGGGTTATCAATTCAAAATATATGCCCACTTGGTTAAGGAAACCCGACACTGACTCGGCTCACCCCCAAAGCACTGTGGAAGGGGGGCTGAACCAGTCATACCCTCTGGGCACCGCAGGTGCAGCAGCAGATGCGGAGGTAGGCGCAACAACCGGAGCAACAGCGGGAGTGACCACAGGAGTGACAACCGGCCTAATAGCACCAGGAGTAAGGTGCGCAGCTGCAAGCAGCAGCTGTCTGAAACACCTGAGCGAACTGATCCAAAAAGAGATCCTGATGATCAAGTCTGGCAACCAACATAGGGAGCGGGCGTACCTGCACCGTCAGGATTCATGACATTCGTGCAGTGTCAGGGAGCGAGGAGCCAGACACACACAAGGAGGTGCAATTAAAGGTAGGTTTATTATACAAAAACAAGACAGAGTCTATGCAAGTCCAACAGGAACAGCGGATGACTTGATAGGACAGTAGCCAGGAAGGATTGTCACCAGAGCCGGGGCAGAAGCCAGGAAGGATGGTCGCCAGAGTCGGGTCAGAAGCCAGGAAGGATGGTCGCCAGAGCCGGGGTCAGAAGCCAGGAAGGATGGTCGCCACAGCCGGGGTCAGAAGCCAGGAAGGATGGTCGCCAGAGCCGGGGTCAGAAGCCAGGAAGGATGGTCACCAGAGCCGAGGTCAGAAGCCAGGAAGGATGGTCGCCAGAGCCGGGGTCAGAAGCCAGGAAGGATGGTCGCCCGGAGCTGGGGTCAGAAGCCAGGAAGGATGGTCGCCGGAGCCGGGGGTCAGAAGCCAGGAAGGATGGTCGCCAGAGCCGGGGTCAGAAGCCAGGAAGGATGGTCTGAGGGAGGAGCTGCAGAGGGCTGAAAGCATAAAGGATCCCACAATGCTTTGCAGACACCTAAGATGGATGCCAGCAACATGGAGCAGCAGAAGCCCTGAGGAAAGGTAGGACCTTGACAAAGAGGACGGACATGACTATGGAGGAAGAGAACGGACATGACTATGGAGGAAGAGGACGGACATGACTATGGAGGAAGAGGACGGACATGACTATGGAGGAAGAGGACAGACATGACTATGGAGGAAGAGGACAGACATGACTATGGAGGAAGAGGACAGACATGACTATGGAGGAAGAGGACAGACATGACTATGGAGGAAGAGGACAGACATGACTATGGAGGAAGAGGATGGACATGACAGTTCCTAATTGGGGCGGAGATGAGTGCTCATTTGGCCATCTCCTGATAAGTTTAGAACAGCTTATGGGGGGAGATCACTGATGGGGTGCTGCTTTTGAGTGAGTGCTGCGTTGATGGAGTGCTATGAAGCACTTGGACTAAAGCAGTTGAACTAAAGCAGAACTCAAGCAGCAGGAAGATACAACAAGAAACTCTCCTGCATGCTGGACAGACTGCGAGCAAACACCCTGGGAAACATCTCCTACAAGTCTGAGTCCCACTCCGTGTACCTTTAATATGTCCCCTCTACTCCTCCTTTTCATATTACTTTCCTGCGTTCCCCAAATCTCACTTCTTTACCCCTCCGCTCCACCCCAAAACTTGTAAATCTCCCCCTCACTGCTACCATCTCCCTACTACTGCTCTCATCACCTCCTGCTGATACTTCACTCCCCTGCTGACCCAAACACCAGGACTGGAAGGCATGTGCACTCATGTACATCCCGCTCCCATCTTACTTTCCTCACCCTCCTTCTTCTCCTAACCTCTGGGGATATCTCCCCAAACCCTGGTCCTCCACTATCTCACCCCCACACCAGGCACCCTCCTTCTCCTAACCTCTGGGGATATCTCCCCAAACCCTGGTCCTCCACTATCTCACCCCCGCACCAGGCACCCTCCTTCTCCTAACCTCTGGGGATATCTCTCCAAACTCTGGTCCTCCAGTATCTCACCCCCAGCACCAGGCACCCTCCTTCTCCTAACCTCTGGGGATATCTCCCCAAACCCTGGTTCTCCAGTATCTCACCCCAGCACCAGTCACCCTCCTTCTCCTAACCTCTGGGGATATATCCCCAAACCCTGGTCCTCCACTATCTCACCCCGACACCAGGCACCCGCTTTCCTCCAGGAATAGCCACAATCCCCTCAATTTAATATCAGTCCCCGTGCTCCCAAAAACCACCCTCCCTTTTTTCATGTGCGCTCTGGAATGCCCGCTCTGTCTGTAATAAGCTCACCTCTGTCCATGACCTTTTTGTCTCCCGCTCCCTTAACCTACTAGCAATTACAGAAACCTGACTCCAAGCAGCAGATTCTGCTTCCACCGCAGCACTTCCCTATGGAGGCCTCCTCTGGACCCACTCACCCAGACCCAGTGGTCAGAAAGGTGGTGGGGTTGGTTTGCTTCTATCCCCACTGAGCACCTTTCAAGTCCTCCCTAACCCTCCCTCTCTATCCTTCTCTTCTTTTGAGACTCACTGCATCCGGCTGTTTTCTCCCATTTCTCTGAGGATTGCAGTGATCTATCGGCCTCCTGGACCCGTGTCCCGCTTTCTTGATGATTTCTCCGCCTGGCTACCCTACTTTCTCTCCTCTGAACTACCCGCTATCATTCTCAGAGATTTTACCATTCCTATTAATGTCAACAACCCGGCTACATCCCAACTCTTCAACATAACCTCATCTTTTGCATTAGCACAATGTATACCGTCCTCCACTCACTCTGATGGGAATACATTAGACCTTGTTTTCTCCCATCTTTGCACTCCCTACAACCTCACAAACACCCCCTTTCCTCTCTCTGATCACAATCTCATCACCTTCACAGTCTCCTTGTCTTCAAACACCTATCCCTCCAAGCAGCAAACAATTACCAGCAGAAACCTTCACAACTTGAACCCGGCTCCTTTCCACTCTGCAACTGACCAACTCTATGACAGAATCTCTCCCCTGTCCTGCCCTGACCTGGCCACTGCTGTCTACAACTGTAAGGGACCACCCGGCGGTACCACTAGCACTCCACTGATGATCAGGCGTCCCCAGCGTACGGAGTCTAAGCCCCAGAGTACTTGTTCACCAGAGCCCCTGATGGTGGGGATGGACTTGGAGTACCCCCCGGACAAGGTCGTGACTACTGAGGACACCCGTCAGTGGTAGGGGTATTCGCCAGGGGCTCCCACGGGAGAGAGCCAGGTATGAGGAGGTCTGGAGACCCCGTAGAGAGGGATGGATGGATGGATGGCTGAGCAAGTGCAAAGTCAGGCAGGCCGGGTCGGTAACTATGGGGACGGTGCGGTACAGAGCAGCGGGCAGAGAATAGTCGGGTCACACACCAGGTCAGCAGCAGCAGGTCAGATCCAATAGGGGGCATCCAGGAGAGAGGTCAGGCAAGCAAGGGTCAATACAGGAGAAAGCAGCAAGGTCAGGGCACAATCCGGGTCAGCAACTCACTAGAAACAGGTTCACAGGTTCACAGGATACAAGGAGACCAGAAGGCACTGAATGACAGCTCAGGGCCATTTAAATATCCGCCCTGCTCTGTCATTGGTGCCAGGCGCGCGCCCGCGGTCTCTACTGCGCATGCGCAAACTCAATTGCCGCAGTCGGCCAGGTCCCAGCGCCCACGTCCCTGCACAGGGCAATGCACTGCGCCGAGCCCAGCGCCGCGGCGATCCCCGACAACAACAGTTCACTGTCATCCACATTAGACTCACTTGCTCCTCTAACACGAAGCATCAGGCCCCGACCGTTACATCCGTGGCAGACTGACCACACCAGACATCTTAAATGACATAGTCAAGCACTGGAGCGATTGTGGTGTAAAACCAAATCTCAGCAAGCATTCACCTTATATAAATCTGCTTTCTCCATATACAATTCCTCCCTCCATGCTGCCAAACAAGACGACTTTGTCACTCTGATCAATACCTTGTCATCCAGCCCTCGTCATCTCTTCTCTACTTTTACCTCTCTACTTTCTCCACCTCCACCCAGTACCTCACTCACTGCTCACGAGATTGCAAATCATTTTCAAAAACAAGACTAATACAATTTGTAGGGGCATCTCCACTGCACAGACATCCATCCCACTTAGCATACCTTATACTAAACCTCCCTCAACACTTTCCTCTTCTGGCCTCACTACTACCGAAGAGGTCACTAAGGTTTTCTCAGAAGCCCGTCTCACCACCTGCCCCCTGGATCCTGTCCCCTCAAAACTACTACGGTCATCCTCTTCTTCCATCCTATGCTCCCTCACTCACATCTTCAATCTTTCCCTCTCTACTGGTGCCTTCCCCTCCCCTCTAAAGCATGCGCACATCACTCCCATACTTAACAAGCCCTCCCTGGACCCCACCAACCTGAACAACTTAAGACCCATCTCCCTGCTGCCATTTACCTCTAAACTCCTAGAACGCTTAGTCTACAATCACCTGAGCTCCCACCTCACTGACAACAACCTTCTTCACCCTTTACAGTCTGGCTTTTACTCACTACACTCCACTGAAACTGCCCTACTAAAACTCACTACTAATGATCTACTAACTGCTAAAACCAATGGCCACTACTCCGTATTTATCCCAACCAACGGCCACTACTCCATACTCATCCCAACCAATGGCCACTACTCCGTACTCATCCCAACCAACGGCAACTACTCCGTACTCATCCCAACCAATGGCCACTACTCCGTACTCATCCCAACCACATGGCCACTACTCCCGTACTCATCCCAAACAACGGCCACTACTCCGTACTCATCCCAAACAACGGCCACTACTCCCAACCAATGGCCACTACTACTCATCCCAAACAATGGCCACTACTCCGTACTCATCCCAACCAATGGCCACTACTCCGTACTCATCCCAACCAATGGTCCACTACTCCGTACTCATCCCAACCAATGGCCACTACTCCGTACTCATCCCAACCAATGGTCACTACTCCGTACTCATCCCAACCAATGGTCACTACTCCGTACTCATCCCAACCAATGGTCACTACTCCGTACTCATCCCAACCAATGGTCACTACTCCGTACTCTCCCCAACCAATGGCCACTACTCCGTACTCATCTCACCAACCAATGGCCACTACTCCGTACTAATCCCAACCAATGGCCACTACTCCATACTAATCCCAACCAATGGCCACTACTCCATACTAATCCCAACCAATGGCCACTACTCCATACTAATCCCAACCAATGGCCACTACTCCATACTCATCCCAACCAATGGCCACTACTCCATACTCATCCCAGCCAATGGCCACTACTCTTACTACTTGACCTCTCTGCGGCTTTTGATACAGTTGACCATCCTCTCCTCCTCAAAAAACTACACTCTCTTGGCCTCCGAGACTCTGCTCTCTCCTGGTTCTCCTCCTACCTATCGCAGCACTCCTTCAGTGTTACCCGGTAACTCTGCCTCCTCCTCTTCACTCCCTCTCTCTGTAGGGGGTCACTCAAGGTTCTGTCCTTGGACCCCTTCTCTCTTCTACACCTCCTCCCTTGGTCACTTGATAAACTCCCATGGCTTTAAGTACCATCTCTATACTGATGACACACAAATCTATCTTTCTACCCCTCACCTCACCCCTTCAGTCTCCTTCAGTCTCACCACACCCCTTCAGTCTCCTCCTCACCTCCCCTCACCTCCCTCACCCCTTCAGTCTCTTCTCGCATTACTAACCTACTAAGTGACATATCGGCATGGATGTCACTCCACTTCCTCAAACTCAATCTTTCCAAAACTGAGCTCTTAGTATTCCCTCCAGCCCCGTGACCCCCCCCCCCCGACTTCTCCATCAATATCAATAACACAATCATCAATCCCTCCCCTCATGCCAGGGTACTAGGTGTAATCCTAGACTCCCATCTGTCCTTTCACCCCAAATCCAATCACTGTCCAAATCTTGTAGACTTCACCTCCGCAACACCTCCAACCTTCCCAACATCTCCAAGATATGGCGGTTCTTAACCTCGGAAACCACTAAGCAACTTATTCACTCCCTGGTTATCTCTCACCTTGACTATTGTAACTCCCCTCCTCATTGGCCAACCTCATCACAGGCTATCCCCTCTTCAGTCTATCATCATGAATGCTGCTGCAGACTGATCCACCTTACTAATCGCTCCATATCTGCCACCCCTCTCTGCCAATCCCTCCACTGACCTCCACTCAGTGTCCTCCACCCCTCTCTCTGCCAATCCCTCCACTGGCCTCCACCCCTCTCTACCAATCCTTCCACTCCTCTCTGCCAATCCCTCCACTGACCTCCATCAGTGTCCTCCACCCCTCTCTGCCAATCCCTCCACTGGCCTCCACTCAGTGTCCTCCACCCCCTCTGCCAATCCCTCCACTGGCCTCCACCCCTCTCTGCCAATCCCTCCACTGGCTTCCCATTGCCCAATGGATAAAATTCAAAACATTAACAATAACATATAAAGCCATTTATAACTCCGCCCCAAATTACATCACTGATCTCATCTCTAAAAATATCACCCAAACCCGTCCTCTCAGCTCCTCACAAGACCTCCTACTCTCTAGCTCCCTTGTCTCCTCCTCCCATACTCATCTCCAGGACTTGTCCAGAGCTTCCCCCATCCTCTGGAACTCTCTACCCCAATCTATCAGACTATCGCCTACTCTGCTCACTTTTAGGTGATCTCTGAAAACCTATCTCTTCAGGGAAGCCTATCCTGCCCTCAGCTAATAATGGAATCTTCTATTCCTCCTACCAGTCCATCCCCCACAGTTACAACCTTTTGTACTACTAGCCCCCTCCCTCCTAGATTGTAAGCTCCCGAGGATCAGGGCCCTCCTAACTCTCTTGTATTGAACTGTATTGTTGCTGTATTGTCTCCCGTTATATTGTAAAGCGCTGAGCAAACTGTTGGCGCACCATATAAATCCTGTATAATAATAATAATTACCTCCTCTACTGCCACGTCCACCAACCTCTCCAATCTCCTTCAGACCACACGGAACATCTTCTCTTTATTCCAGATCACTTCCTGTCTGTTCCTGACATCACTTCCTATCAGTACCCGACATCACTTCCTGTCTATATTCCATAGAGAGAAGTCCTGTCTGGGTAGTAGAAATGAGATCACCATCTTGTTGAGTTCAGAGGAACTGCAGCCCCAGAATGTCCCATCCTTCATATCGGAGAGAGAGAGACAGACTACCCAGAATATCCCATCCTTCATATCAGAGACTGAGACAGACTACCCAGAATGTTCCGTCCTTCATATCAGAGACAGACTTCCCAGAATGTCCTGTCCTTCATATCAGAGACCGAGACAGACTACCCAGAATGTCCTGTCCTTCATATCAGAGAGAGAGAGACAGACTACCCAGAATATCCCCCATCCTCCTTCATATCAGAGAGAGACAGACTACCCAGAATGTCCCATCCTTCATATCAGAGAGACTGAGACAGACTACCCCCAGAATGTTCTGTCCTTCATATCAGAGAGAGACAGACTACCCAGAATGTCCCATCCTTCATATCAGAGACCGAGACAGACTACCCAGAATGTCCCGTCCTTCATATCAGAGAGAGAGAGAGAGACAGACTACCCAGAATGTCCCGTCCTTCATATCAGAGAGAGAGACAGACTACCCACCCAATGTCCCATCCTTCATATATCAGAGAGACAGACTACCCAGAATGTCCCATCCTTCATATCAGAGAGAGATAGACTACCCAGAATGTCCCATCCTTCATATCAGAGAGAGACAGACTACCCAGAATGTCCCGTCCTTCATATCAGAGACCAAGACAGACTACCCAGAATGTTGCCATCCTTCATATCAGAGAGAGAGACAGACTACCCAGAATGTCCCGTCCTTCATATCAGAGAGAGAAGACTACCCAGAATGTCCCATCCTTCATATCAGAGAGAGACAGACTACCCATAATGTCCCGTCCTTCATATCAGAGATCGAGACAGACTACCCAGAATGTCCCATCCTTCATATCAGAGAGAGAGAGAGACAGACTACCCAGAATCTCCTTCATCCAGGGGAGGACTGACCATTTGGAAACTTGGGCACTGCCCGAGGGCCCAGGATCAGTAGGGGGCCCCATGAGATGCCCCTGGTACCTTTTTCATAGGCTTTTTTTAGTTTGGGCAGAACAGGGGCCCCATGATCCCCTATTGCCCGGGGGCCCCATGAGTTGTCAGTCCGCTCCTGCTCCCATCCTTCCTATAAGAGAGAGAGACAGACTACCCAGAACGTCCCGTCCTTCATATCAGAGAGAGACAGACTACCCAGAATGTCCCATCCTTCATATCAGAGACCAAGACAGACTACACAGAATCTCCCATCCTTTCTGTCAGAGTGAGACAGACTACCCAGAATGTCCCATCCTTCATATCAAAGAGAGAGAGACAGACTACCCAGAATGTCCCCATCCTTCATATCAGAGAGAGAGTCAGACTACCCAGAATGTCCCATCCTTATATCAGAGAGAGTCAGACTACACAGAATGTCCCATCCTTATATCAGAGAGAGTCAGACTACCCAGAATGTCCCATCCTTCATATCAGACAGCCAGCCAGCTCTTGAAGGCTGGTAGGAAAGAACCCTAAGGGTACCTAAGGGCTTGACTAGAAGAAGAAAAAGTGCCAAGACTCCTCCTCCACAGGGGTAAGCAGAGAGAAGAAAATATGGTGCAACCCATATGGTGCACAAAACACCAGCAGGTCATAAGGATGCACAGGGACCCATGTGCCTAAACACCCATCGGTGCCTCTAAGCAAAACTGCCTACATCTAATCACGGAGCATGGTCCAACAAAGCATCCTCAGCTGAGGAGAGGGGAATGGGGGGAAGGGATCCTAGATTGTCTACCTGATTAGGAACAGGAGCAAGGGAAGGAGTCTGGAGGAACTGCACATCGGTCATCAAATGAGAACTTACCCTCCAGTGACCAGGTCCCACAAAGGTCTCCAGGCAGACTCCCTACCTGCTGGGGGGGCTAGCAGCAGGACCCAAGCATGATCTTCTTGCTGACAATGTGGAGAGCACAGGGCCATCCAGCAATTAAATCTTCCTGCCAGGTGGGAAATCAACAGCTTTCAGGTACTGAATCAGAAGAGAACCAGACAGCAAATTCTTATCTCCAAGGAGGACAGCATAGTGAAACGTAACACTCTCAGTGCAGTACAGCATAGGGACTAGGCCACTAGACCTGCCACAGGGAAAACTCCCAGACCTTTCCATAGGGGAAGACTCTTCAACACGTGAGGGATTTCCAGTGGAGCTCAGGTCAGAGTACCAAGTCATGGAGGGGATGCTTGATGAGACAGGAACTGTTCTCAGGAAACAGATTGGAGCCCCAAGACTTTCATGGTGAAGGGAAGAAAATACCCCTTTCAGACAAAAAGGCAGACAGGTAATATCTGGAAGTACTTAGTCTAGAGAGACCATTTGGATGTTTTGCCCCAAGTTCAGGCCCCCAGGCATGAGGGATTGATGACAAGCACTGAGTTACAATTGAAAAAGGGAGTCTAACTTATGAGCGTAATCCCTTGGCACCCTACACACCCTGAAAGATGAGGGAGGGAGAACGATCCTGACTTATAAGGGGAGGAATTAGAACCCTAAAGCACAGGTGTCAAACTGGTGACCCTCCAACTGTTGCCAAACTTCAAGTCCCATGAGGCATTGCAAGATTGACAGTTACAAGCATGACTCCCAAAGGCAGAGGCATGATGGGACTTGTAGTTTTGCAACAGCTGGAGGGCCACCAGTTTGACACCCCTGCCCTAAAGGAAATGAGCAACCTTGCCCAACAGTGACCTTTAAAAAACCCAAGGGGGAACAAAAGGCTGATTCGGGTAGTACATCTATAAGGTTTGAAACAACCCTGGTAAATCTGTGTCCACTTCAGGAGACTGCAATGACCCCAACCAGAGGTAAATTGTTGGAACTCTCAGAGACAATGACAAGGTCAACATGGCCAGCATGAATAGAAGTTTTAGGCCAATCACAGACATAATCTGCAGGGGACCATTTAGAGCCTTTGAGGGTAGAGTGCACCGATATCTGAGCAAAAAC